AATTTGACACAATTTTTAAATTAATTTAAAACATTTAAAAATTATGATAACTTTAGTTGAAAGGAGCAAAGAGTTGTATGTCACAAATATCAGTTGCCTATTTCCTTTTCCTGTTCCCTTAGAGGCACCTGTTTTCAACTCGTGTCAGATGATTCTTTTGGCATTTACTTCTGTATTTTTGTTCTTAGTACAGGGGATCAAACTCAGGACCTTATGTTTACAAGGCAGGTGTGGTGCCACTGAGCTAAACCCCTGGCCCCTGGCCTTCACCTCCAAAGTCTAACATGAATATTATTGATACTTCTGATTGTTTCCATGTTAGGCATATACAAGCCCTAGCCTTTTCAACATGGCAGACAGTCGGTTTACTGTTGACCCCTCCCTCATCTCAACCACCCACACATGCCCACTTCCCATTCCCCCATTCTCCCCATAAAGTGATATCCACCAAAATAATGGCTCTATAATGCAAAATGTTGGCACTTGAGTTATTATGATTGTATCTACGTTATGCACAATTGAGTCAGTGAAGATATGCTATGATTATTTCCCTTTTTTCCATAACTCCCCTTTAGTGACTAATGCCTTTCTCCCATTTATTTAGTTCTATTGCTAGTACTTATCACTACTTCAACCCTTCCTTCTCCCCCAGGTGTGTAAACCTTCTCCTTACATTTTCAAACACAATTCTGTCATTTTGAATAAATCTTTCTTGAAGACTTCTGACCAGCTTCAATCTGAACACACTGCTTCTTGTGCTGGACACATTGTTCCCTGGCCACTAAGCACTTTCCTTTAGCTTGTTGCTTCCCACTGGCGTGCCTTTTGTATTAGAGTCATGGTTTTCTCTATCTTACATCTTATTTTTTCTAGGTTTCTTCCTTTGTTTTGCTGGAGCACATCCTTTAGCAGCTTCCTGAAAGGGAGACTAAGGATGTACCTTTTTTTTTTTTTAATTCTGCATGTCCAAAAATGGAATCTTCCCTCATACTTATTTCTTGGTAGTTTGAGTTCAGTTCTAGGCCGGAAGTGCTTTTCCCTCAGAAGGAATTGTTCCACTGACTTTCAGATTCCAGGCTTGATAGCTATGATGACATTTGTACCCTTTTTTCCCTTCTGTTTTTGAACAATTATGAAGTGAGTTTTTTTTAATCCCTTCAAAAGCCTGTTGGATCTCCTCCTAGCTCTCAGTTTTCTGAAATTCCATGGTGAAGTGTAATTCAGCTCAAATCTATGGTGATATATTGAGAACATGTGCTATACAGTTTATCTCATTTAATGCTCTAGGTTATACAAAGGTATGTACAAATCTGTAGGAAATGTGAGATAAGGGAAACACTGATGAGCATGTGATGTTACACATATCAATTACACATATAAAGCTAGTAAGGGCAACATTACTAATTCCAAGTGTGAGTATTTTTTTAAAGGGGTGTAATCCACGGTCTCAACTTGGGTCATTTTATTGGACATTTAACCTTCCTTTTGTGGTCAACACACTCCGTACCTTCTACATGTGCAGCCCCTCAGTGACGTTTTTTACTTAGGGCTTGGAGTTGCCATTAGCTACCAGGGGGCAGACTCTGGCATCATGCGGTAGAGGGTCAAGAATGTTTATTCAATGCCAGAGATTTTTTTCCAGCTTTTGGGGGAGTCAGAACCAGAGCCCCTTTTCAGGAAGAAATCCTTTAAATGTATATAAATAGGGCTGGGGGTTTAGTTCAGCGGCACAATGCCTGCCTGGCAAGCGTGAGATTCTGAGTTCGATTGATCCTGGATACCAAAAAAAAAAAAAAAGTACATATAAATTCTCCGCAAAGTGTACCTAGAACATTTTCCCTGTGAAACATAGATGAAACATATAAATTAGAGATAGCTCACTGGTGTGGTGGCGCACGCCTGCAATCCCAGCTCTCAGGAGGCTGAGGCAGGAGGATCACTGTGAGTTCAGACCAGCCTGGGCTACATAATGAGTTCCAGGTCAGTCTCAACTACATGGTGAGACCACTGGATACCAAAAAAAAAAAAAAGTACATATAAATTCTCCGCAAAGTGTACCTAGAACATTTTCCCTGTGAAACATAGATGAAACATATAAATTAGAGATAGCTCACTGGTGTGGTGGCGCACGCCTGCAATCCCAGCTCTCAGGAGGCTGAGGCAGGAGGATCACTGTGAGTTCAGACCAGCCTGGGCTACATAATGAGTTCCAGGTCAGTCTCAACTACATGGTGAGACCATGTCTCAAAAAAACTAAAAAAATTTTTAATAATTAAAAAAGGTATAGCTCAATAAGTGCTTCCCTCAGTGGGTGAATACAGAATATTTCTATGTAATATTTACCTAATATTCATACAGCTGTCTACCCCCTGGTGGGAACCAGCCAAGAGTGGGCACTATTCAATAGTAACTATAAGCAATAGTAACTACTGCTGGCACATTATCTTGTTTAATTCTCTCCCTATGAGTAGGCATGTACAATCCTCACTTGACAGAGGGACGTTAAGTCCCTTGCCCAACATTCCAAAGCCAGTAATGGCAGAACGGAACTTCAAATTTGAGGAGACCCAAGCCAGAATTCACAATGGATCTGATTTGCATCACTACAAAAGCAGCCCCAAATATTGCTCGAATCCCAGATTAGACCCTTGGGACTTGTCCTCAAACTAAATGCCGCTCCAGAATAGTATATGGAAAGATCACATGGAAGGAAGCCCTTCTCTCTGTAGCTTGTTCTGAGGCTGACTAGCTGAGACTCTGAGGAACAAGCCCCTTTCTAAGCCTGTTTCCATACCTGTAAAATAAAGCTAAGTATGTATTCTGAAGACTTTGGGGAGAAGGCCGTGGTGATCAAGGGAAAGAAACCAAAGTCTAGGAAGACTTTGAAGAGATTTGCAGTCCCTGCAAATGGAGAAGGATGAGAATAATGGCAGAATTTCAAGAATATGCAAAATTAACGATTGCAAAAATCCTTAGATGAGCATGAATTCTCCCTTCAAATACTCCACATAGTCAAAGATCCTATTATTTTTACCAGAAAGTGGCTGCCTCCAGACTGAGTTCTCGGGATCCATTACAACTATTGAATCCAGGCCCGCTCCTGGGAACCAGAGGCTCTAACCCCAACAGGGGTGACCACACTTGGCTGAGGAAGAGGCTGTAATGTGCACTGCTCCTGTCCACCTTTGAGATTCTATTTTAAGGCATGGCCCAGACACCTGGAAGGTTCAGATGATACCACCACCACGACGAGTCTAATGTGCCACCCAAGTTAGAACCACTGCCCTAAAGTTTTAGCTCACAAGGCCAGAGGAACCCACTGGCCCTCACACTTCAACATGCAAACAAAATTATCTTGGATCTTGTTTGAATGCAGCTTCTCATTCAGAAGGTCTGGGGCAGGTCCAGGATTCTTCCCCTCTAACAAGCTCCCAGAGGATGGCTACACAGCTGCCCGCCAAATGCCTGGACTAGAGCTTGAACAAGTATGGGCTGGAACAGGAATTATAGCTCTTCAGGTCAGCTGGAACCCAAGTAAGATGTCACCTCACGCCTAAGAGCCTCAGTTAGGTTATCTGTACAGTGAGGTCATGCGAGTTCAGCTCAGTGGTCAGACCTGGGGCTCAAAATCCACAAGGACCCGGGTTCAAGCCCAGCACTCCCCTCCCCGCCCCCAATAAGCAATCGTAATTACATCACATCCGGTGACGCTTAAATAAGGTGATGCATTCAACGCGTGTAGCGAAGTGCCACCAACCCCAGCCTCGAGTTAGGAGAGCCAGCACTCACAATGCCTACTGTCTGCCAGGGATGTGCTTTCTGCGTTAACCCATTCAAGCTTCGTGCTTGTGAAGCGCGCCCTATCATGTCATCATCCCTGCTTTATAGCTGGAGAAGCTCGGGTGCAGAGGCGGGGAACCTTGATCCACAGTTACACACCCAGAAGTCGCTGAGCTGGAGTTTGGACCCAGGGAAAACCTGGCCTCACCGTCACCGTCACCGTTCTTCGTCTGCAGGGCTGAAGGCATAAGCGCAAACCCCACTTCTGCCCTGCAGGCCTGGCTTTGTGGCTGGGACGAGTTGAAGGTTCACCCCCTGGAACCGGGTGCGAGCGGCAGGTGGCAGCCTGACCCGACGTGGGCACGGAGACACTTCCCGGGAAGGCCCAGAGCTAGACCGGTGCGCTAACCTCCCGCCTCGGTTCCGCCTTGGAAGCCAAATGAACCCATCGAGAAATAACAGCACTACTCAAGTTCACAAAGGAGTTCTGCAAGATAAGCCCACGTCCACAGGCACAACCTCGAGAAGGGCGAGTTTTCTACATCTTCCTTTATCTTAGGAGCGCAACCAGAGGGGAACCCCACAGACCTCTCCACGCTAAAAGCGAAGCAAGGCCGGGAGCCCGGCCAGAGTCGGGAATCCGTCTCGGATTCTCCAGAGCCCTTCGGTTCGCCGGATCTCTGCGCGCTCAAGGGGCAGCGGACCGCGCGGAGGACCACAACCTCTGAAAGGCGGAAGGGAATCGCTCTTCTGTCGGGAGGGGAGCAAATGAATTTAAAGGTCAGCGCCGCGGCCCGAGTTAACTGGGCGGTTTCCATGGCGCCCTGGGCGTGGGGGAGGAATGCACCCCGCAAACTGTGGCGAAACAACTGCACCGCCCGACCGG